CTCAAACCGGCAGCTGCTGCTCATTTGAGAGAGACAATTAGGAAGCTGTTTTTAGCTCCGTTTTAGAATCTTTTCTCAGGTTTTAGGTAGAAACTCTTGCCAACACGTTGGGCGCCATTTAGTATTGACATGGCAGGAAATATGGCAGAGTGTAGGCAGACATGGAGCTGGAGAAGGAGCTGAGAGTTCTCTATCTGGTTAGGCAGGCAGCAGGAAGAGAACTGGCTTGAGCTTCTAGACCTCAAAGCCCACAGTCACATACTTCCTCCAACAAGACCACATCTACTCTAACAAAGCCATATCTCCAATAATGCCACTCCCTATGGACCTATGGAAACCATTTTTATTCAAACCACCACATAAAATTTTGTCAAAAATGTAGACTTCTATCTGATATTACTAATGGTGATAAATCTTTATTTCATTGAAAAAAATCACACTTTATAGGGCTGAAGAGATGACTCAGTTATTAAGAATACTTGTTGCTCTTGCAGAGAACTCAAGTTCAGCTCACAGTCCTCACACAATGGCTCATAACCATCTGTGACTCTAATTCCAGGGAAGTCAACACCCTCTTCTAACCTTCATGGGCACCATGCACACATATGGTACATCTACATGCATGCACACAAAATGCTATGCACATAAATAAATAATAAAACTTTTAAAATTAGGGAAAAAATCACATAAAAATCATAAAACACTAAAGTTTATCCAATCATCCTAGAGGAATGAGAAAGAGTAAGTCTAGGTGACCTTCCATTTTTTTAAATTTTTTTATACTTATTTATTTTTATGTTATATGTATTGGTGTTTTGCCTGTGTATGTCTGTGTGTACCATGACATGCCTAGTGTCTACAGAAGCCAGAAAAAGAGCATTGGATCCCCTGGAACTGAAGTTATAGATAGCTATTATCTGCTGTGCAAAGACTCTTTTTTTTCTATATTTCTGATATATTTATTTGTTTGTTTGTTTGTTTGTTTGTTTGTTTGTTTTACATCCTAACGGCAGCCTTCCCTCTCTCTTCTCCCATCCTTCCTCTCTCCCCCTGTTCCCCACTCCAGTCCACCACCACCTCTTCATATTCACTTAGACAGGGCCAGGCCTCCCATGGGCATCAGCAAAGCGTGGCCTATTAAGTCCCCATAAGACTAAGCACCTCCCCCTGTATTCTGTCTGGGAAAAGCAATCCAACATGAGGAACAGGTTCCCAAGAGCCAGCCAAAGCACCAGGGACAGCCCCTGCTCTGATTGCCAGGAGTCCCACATATAGACCAAGCGACACAACTGTCATATATATA